CGTCGTCAGGAGACCAGTCTCCTGACGACGTTGAGCCTCTCCGGTTCTTATCAGAACCATACAGACTCAAAAAGAGATATTGCATGGTGCTTACCACAAGCTTTCCATCTTAATGTTCATGCTGTTTACATGGTTTATGTTTATCACTTTGCTCATATGCATGTAAGGCCAGCTAATGGCCAAGAATGCTCCGCTCCAAGTTCCACCATTTTTGGAGTGGGAGGGGGGGACTCTAAGATCTTGCAATCTGTCACATCTCAGTGTCAACTCCATGGGCTGCTTGCACATTCACTCACTAGCCCCTGGTCCTGTAGACAGTCGTACTAATTAACGTCAACTCAACGTTAATATGCGTCAACACATGATAGTAATGTCAACACATCCAAATCACGTTCAAAGTTAACAGAAACGCAATTCAATAGCAATGTAATGCCTAAAATACAATTTGGCTAACAACAGTAAGCGACAATTGAGGGGAAAAGCCGTTTTATTTCACGAAAATAACACCCTCCGCACAATCACGAAAGACGGTAGCCATGTTGCCTCGATCAGATGGACCATACCATTATGCTACAGGGGGTCATCTTTTACAGAAAACCATGGTACAGTCCAAACGCCGTGAGAAGGCAAGATGGCGGCGAACAGCTACGCTGCTCAGAGACAATTTTGCGCATGAAAAATCTCCCTTGAAATGTAGTAAAATGTAAACTTGATTAAATACAAATTATTCCTAAGCGTATACATTACAGTTCGATACGTCTGTTTTCTTTTTTCAATGCATTTTGTAAGTGTCGGCGGTGTGTTGACGTTACTATCAATGTGTTGACGCCGTGTTGACGGTGCGTTGACACTGATTAGTACGACCCCCTGTAGACTATGAAAATGATGCTGACTGGCTATTAAGGATGACTATGCACTGTACTGTACATAAAGTGAATTGCACATGTCCACGTACATGTATGTGTATTCCAGAAGCTTACACGCTTGTGCCCAGGTATTCTCCTGCACATAAACACGTCTACTAGTCCTCATTTAAGTCTCCTGAATAGTGGGATATTTCAATTATATAATTGGGGTTCAGATCACGCAAGGCATGTTGAGAACCAATTTTGTGTAGCAACCTGTACACAGCACAGTGCATGTCGATGGGCTCCCATGTCGTCAGCTTACAGGTCACGACAGTCGTGCATTAAAAACAAGTAAAGATGGCATCCCCGTCACCAAAAATGGCCGAACCAAGATGCGGAGCAAGCATGGCCCTTGGTGGGCCTGACGCATAAGCAGTGTGATGGATGAATGGTATGATCATCAGCAGGTATGCTCAAAACGAGAGATTGGCTTGTAAAAACTCAGTTCTCAAAAAATACTCTGTCTCATGCTCTGAAACCCCTGTTACACCGTTTTTAAGAGCTATGCCGGTAGGTATCTCTTGAAAGTTTACTCTCATGTTCAGGAAAATATGATTGAAAGTATCATATCATACACCAGTGTGGCTTCACTCAACTTGGTATACGTGTACATGTAACTCATCTTAAATCGTGACTGTTTGTAGGTTGTTTGATGGACCAATGTCATCTTGTGAAGCAGAATTGCAAGAACTCATGCGACAAATTGACATTATGGTCCACAATAGAAAGACAGAGTGGGAAGCTGACATGGAACGTGTCAAGGGTCAACTGAGGTTACGTGAACAGGAAGTAGCATCTCAGCGTGCTCTGTTAGAGTCCAAGCACCAAGAGGTAGGCCTACATGTACCTGTTACGAGACATTAACAACACATTTATTCTCATGAATGGCATAAATACATGTATGACAGCATGAAAAAAATCCTATTGACAACGGAGGACACACTGTCACGTCTCGGTTAGAAAGCAAATCATCAATCCCAAAGGAAGTGTGCATGTCTCTGTGGGGAAACATTTGGTGAGCAGGGACAATACCAAATCTTTGACAACACAAACAATTGACCAAGTTACATGGAAAAGCATTGATTACAACCCCATTTTATATTTAGAACGAACTTTTGATGATGCAAAGATAAGGCATGCTGGTGTGGCAGAAGGTTTCATTTGTGGGCTTGAATATCTACTGTCCATGCAACACATTGATGCTGTAGTACAGTGACAACATGTGAATTGGGATGAAACAGCATGTGCACTGCAACCCAGTTACATCATGGCCAATGTTACAGTCCATAGCGCAGCACGCTGTGTTGAGTCTAAAGTGTGTTTCATCGAGAGTCATCGAAAGTCATTGAACATGTTGAAAGTCATTAGTGTAGAAAATCCAAACTCAAGACAAATGTTATTTTAATTGCCCCATGTTGACCTATATTGTTGACCATGTTGACCTAATATTGGACTGATAAAAATGAGTTGTGAAATACATAAGCCCTCTGCCATCTTTCATTGAGATTGTCTCTACAAAACTTAATTTCTGAGTGCTGATTCCATGTGGTTTCCGTGCCTACTGTAGTTCTTTTTAACGGTAGTCATGTTTTCAATTGTTATTTCAAATGGTTTAACCTCCTTTACTGTTGCAAGTTCTCCAATGTTATTCCATATTTTTCTTGTCCATGTTTATACCAGCAGTTACATGTACACGTAGTGCAGTGCTCAAATTTCGGAGGAACGTACTCTACATACAATCATATCTACGCAATACATGTACAGTGAATGAAAAGGCTGGTACTCTGTCGTACAGTGAATTGACTGCAGCATATCAGGCTGCTACGTGCATAGCATGTAGGAGTTTATGGTATGGACCCCACACAGGGCAGGGAGTGGTACATACATTTATGTATGTAGGAATGTTTGCTGTTACACATAGGTGTCTTTGGAGCACCAGTGCATGTAGGTGTTTATTAGCAAAAATAGCAAACACTGCATTAGATGCTGTCCGTCAACAAAGACATAGGATCAGGTATAATAAGGCACTTTTATTTACCCAGCACAAAAACTAATCTTAAAGACATTTTTCTGAGTATTTGAGTAATCATTCCCTATGATATCTAAATACTGATTTGATAGCTATTGATGTTATACTGTTAGGTTGGTCGTTTGCGGCACCAACTTGACAGCAGTGAAGGAGAGAAGTGTTTTCTTGCATCCCAATATGAAGAGAAACTCCAACAGCTTAGATCACAGGTACACTGTCATAGCATGATTGATAAGGGAAGTTTCTGTTGATTTGCATGTATATTGAAATGTAATTGCCCTGAATAATACTAATGATCTTCATCATGGAAAGCTATTAGTGAAGCTGTGTATGGCTGTTCACATACATGCACATGTAATACATACAGAAACATATCAAGACTTTAGTCTTCGTCCTCTGCACATGCACACATGATATACACAGCCACTACACCCCCCCTTCTCCCTGTATGCAACATGTAAATTTACTGAGGCAGTTGTTAGCCCATCCATTCAGAACTTTCCTGTGAAGTAACAGTTCTAATCGTATGAAGTAGCCTTTTATCAGAAAATGCTATCAAAGACAAAGTGGATAAAACTTCCTTTTGTTTGGGCATATATGCAAAGACAGTACACATGCATCTCCCTTTCCCCTGATGGAAGGTGTATGTCCCTCTCCCCTGATGGAAGGTGTATGTCCCTCTCCCCTGATGGAAGGTGTATGTCCCTTTCCCCTGATGGAAGGTGTATGTCCCTCTCCCCTGATGGAAGGTGTATGTCCCTCTCCCCTGATGGAAGGTGTATGTCCCTCTCCCCTGATGGAAGGTGTATGTCCCTCTCCCCTGATGGAAGGTGTATGTCCCTCTCCCCTGATGGAAGGTGTATGTCCCTCTCCCCTTTCTGCATACTTATTACAAAGTGTGTGAACAGTCTTTGTCCTCTTTGTCAATGGATTATTGTGCGCCCATCGGCAAACTAAATGTGCATGAATGCCCCTTTTTGCTGCTGTGTACATGTACAGTATGTGACCCTGTCTCTCTCAGATGTTGCGTAAGTGCATACAGTGGAACATTACTATCCCAAACACCGCTATACCGAACATTAAGCTGTACCGAAAATCGTCCTTGGCTCCTAATATTTTGTGCACAAAACCTACCGAACATTATGCAGTTGCAAATCAACCGAGATTCGCCACAGCATGCATCAGGGATCCATCCTGAGCGGTAGCTTCACGACTTTTAGGATAAATTAAATATCAATTTTGTAACTCAAGATTTCATGAAAAAACAAAAATAATTAACAGATACATTTCTAGAAACCTCAAACATAAATGCAACGGCAGAACATCACAGAAACAGCAAATCATAGTATCACAAGAGGGTGCACTTTAGTTAGACAAGAGAGGGCGCTATTCAACATGGCAACGAAACGTTCGGCAGTTATTTTCGCTATACCGAACGACCACTGTACCGAACATTTAGCATGGACCCCGTCGTGTTCGTTATAGCAGCGTTCCACTGTAATAGTTTCTTTTTTTTGCCATCACTGACACAAACAGCGTGTTCTGATCCATCACTGTCTCAATTAATAGTAGTGCTGTTGCTTACTGTTAGCTTTGTGATGTGGGTACAGGTTTATGGCTCCTGACTAGCGCACTTGGAGAAACCACCACCATAGGGCTATAGCACGACACTGACACGGTATCCCTAACGTTGGAGGTTCTCATCTCCAGCCAATGTCTTTATAATACCACAAGTACACATGGAATACTCCATTAATTTAACCCTAACCCACCTCAATCCTGCAAAATCCTCCGGGTGGTTTTGGAGGATTTCGGAGGATCCAGGATGGACAGATGAATGATGATTTGAACATTGGAGGATTTTGGAGGATTGAGGATGAATGCAGTTTTTGAAGTTGGGAAATTGGAGGATTTCAGAAGATTGAGGATGTACATGTATCTTAGTAAAAAGGCCCTATTGGGTTAGGGTTAACATTGCAAAAGTTAACTCATGTTGGCCCATTTTGGTTCACTGTAGTATGCAGGCTGCAGGAAAGTGCATGTATCTTAAAATCTTACTCGGTAATGCATACAATGTTTGTTTTCTTCAAAGAGCTACATGTAGACCACTTGTGTGAGTCCCTGTGCTCAGGGCAGTACATGTACATGAACATGTGTAAACTTGGTCTATATTGTATTCTCAGTTATCCAGCTTACAGAGAGACTATGAAAAAGTTGAGAGGCATCACAATAAACATACTGCAAGTGCAGAGAGAGACAGAAACCAGGCTAGTATCCAACTACAGGATACTCAGAACCAACTCAAGACAGTCCAAACAACAATCCAAGTGAGTAATGATTTCGTCACTGTCATTACAAAGATTGATTTTGAGATAGATCTCCAACGAATTGAACTTTTTTTGTGCAATTATACCAAACATCGGGGGTAAAATAAATAAAGAATCTTTGATGACTGCAAGTGCACTGTCGTCTTACAGCTAAGAAATATGAACCTTCAGTGAAATGATCCTTGCTAGCATTGCATTCTCTAATTTAATTTGTTTTGCTGAGGATACCTTTTAGGTTTTCTTGTCAGCATGTAGGATTTCAAAGGGATGGTATTTGACCATTTGGCAAACCTCAGAGTTGGAGACCTTTATAGTGATGTGCCATTGGGCAGTAAATGATCAGCTCAAAGGTCCCCAGAAATTCTTGAGTGTGCAGTTAGAGTTTTGTTAAAGAACTCTTGGAGTCTGATGACTGGAGAGAGTAATGCTAAAGCACTTATCACCAGAATGAGTAAGAAATGTGTTGAACTCTGATACCCTCAATACTTGCCTTGCTTGGAGGCTTCAGTTAAGACTCAAATCCTCAATAATTCAACAGTGCTGCAAGTCAGTGGCACAGGTTATGTACTCCAACTTTCCATGGTCAGGCCTTATGTGAAATCAAAGTGCCGGTCCATACTTTTCTACAAATTCCTTATCTGGGATGTTTGGGTTGATGTCTGTACCAGACACATCCATCGTTTGATGCAGACTACAGAGAGTTTTAAATGTACATGTAGGCATTGCTTTATAATTTCTTCAAATTGGATGTACACTATGTGGTTTATTCTGTGATTTGTCGCATTGTAGAATTACCAGAAAAAAGCCAACGAGTGGGAGATACAGAAGAGAGCCTACAGACAACAGATAGAAAGCTTAGAAACACAGAGGAAGACGTTAGCAGACAAGTGTCAGTTAATTCAGGTAGACAAGATAGATTTAATTGAATGGCATGGTACCCATGATGAAGGCAGGTTATGTAAGATAGGAAGTGGTAACAGATTAAAATGAATTGCTTTCCTTGGGTTGGCAGACAGTTAATCCTCATGAAGAGTTGATGTTGGGTAGTTAGTTTCCTTTGAGAAACCAGCCTTCTGAGAAAGTACCAGCAGGACAGGGTTCAAATAAATGTACATGTAGGATAGAGGCCCTGTCCAGGCCTCGTGCCCTGACGTCGTTGTCAGGTCTAGACTATCAAGTCTCTCGGTGAATTTCGGTGCCTCAGTCTACGTCACAGGCCGCGCCCCATTTTGAAACCCCAAAAAGGGGGGTCACTTAACGGGTGGCAAATAAACATATGAATACTTTGTGTGAACCATTTCTGCTTTTATTTTGTTCAAAATGTGTATAAGTTAATGTAATTATGAATTGAAATGGGTTTTTACAAATTTTGGCTTCCTTGTTCTTTTAAGAAAATTCTTACCACACAAGCAACTGCATTCATTGGCAGTACAGACACCTGCTGATAATCTTATCTTGTTGGCCTGTCAGTAGTTTTGGGGCAGCACGTATCTGTGGGCTGGGTTTTAGCAGGGTACACTTACGTGTACATACATACATGTATCATATACCGTTTATTCCAGGCAACAAATGAAGTTTTAGTGCTCTTGAAAAGCATGTTTTGAGTCAAAATCTGCCTCTCATTTTAACCACCCAATAACACTTTGTTCAAAAGATAGGCTGACATCTGCATGCACTAGTCATGTTTTTTGGTTAAGCCTACAGACAATGCTACATGACTTGGACTAGCCAGCCGATGCTGGCAAGCTCCGTGTTCAAGTGGTTAATAGAAAGCATAAGCACTGAGTGTACATTAGTAATTACCATACATGTCAGTGAAAGGGCAAAACCTGTACTGAAAAGTAATATTCTGAATTAACTCCGTCAGCAATAGATGGAACATTGTATTAACCATTGCTGCCTCCTCCATTCTTACTGTTTCATAGATAAGCTGTAGAAGAAACCAACATTTGTCCCTCATTATTTCTGATGGGAAGAATAATAATACGCAGTAATTGGCTAGTCGTGGATGAAGTCTTCATGCATAAGTTTCTTATAACTTCAAGCATTTAAATTCTGTTTAAGTCTCAAACATTTGTAGCTGAAATTCATACTTATTTCAGTCTCACTTAAATTTAAGGGTAGCCTTAAACTTGACCAAGTCCATCTTCATGTATTTGTTTGGTGCGACATGTACATGTAGATGAGGACCTATAGAGACATGCAAGTACGTGTACATGTACATGTATGTACTGTACATTGTACATTATTGTATCATGACTTATGTGATCTGCAAGAGAAACAGCAGTGAACCTTACTTTTTGATCAATCTCTCTCCTGGTGTAGCAATAAGTTGACCTTTGCCAAGGCAGCATACTGATACATGTACTTAATTGCAAAACCTTAGAATTATTTTAAAAAACGTGTAAAAGCTACTTTCACATCCATTCACTCAAAGCCTACCAGTATATGCCTGGGAAAGAAACTCAAACAAAATGTGCCCATGTGGTCACAATGAACATTGATAATGTTGAAGGATTGTTGAAGCAGCAAACGTACTGGTCCCATGTGATTAGACCGCTGTTGTATCATTGTGAACATGTGAACATTAGCTCAAGAGTGATGCGAACAATGAATTGCTGACATCGGACTGAATGAGCATCACAATTAAGCCTCTCAACAGTCTGTCATTGAACTTTGACATAGGTTTTCTAAAAAAAATCCAGGAAAAGCAAGTCCAAAATCTATGGTCACTGCTCTAGTTATATTGATGAAGACCCATAATTTGGCTTTACATGTAACTCTCCAAGAACAGGAAGACAAACGTTAGTATAGTTGTTGGCTTGCAGTTTTTGACCAAGGATGAAATATGAAAGTGGAGTTTGTCTATTCTTACCCTAGCAACAGTCAGAAGGTTACCAAGACCAGCTGGCTAAACGACGCCACTTGCTAGAGCAGACTGAGTTAAACTTCCAATCACAGCTTACCCATCTGGAGGGATGCCTGACACGTTCCCAGGATACAGTGGAAGAAAAGAATGCTACCATACAGCGACTGGAAGAGAGGTTAGAGGAGATGAGTGGAGATAGGAAAGCTGAGGAGGGAGAGAAATTAGACAGTAAAGAGAGATGTAGAAGGTTGGAGAGTCATCTCAAGGTAAGACAAAGACAGCATCAGAAGAAAAATCAGGGTTCTTAACTTTTGCCGTTTTGAGACTCCAAACCATGTAAAAAGGTGGGTCAATGCAGATCATGTGAATACAGGTTAACGGGAAATATTTTCTTGTAATATTTGTATTGGATAATTTTATGGATCACCAACATTTATTTATAAAAATATACTCATTTTTTTCTGAATATGTGAAAAAAATCACAAGCTTGCTGGGATGATGTTTGAACACATGAAACACTAAGTATACCATATTTGTTATAAATGTTGAAGTGCAGAAGCACTTAGTAAAATCAACTGACATCTCTTTGACACAAAATATGTTGATACATGTAGATCCTATTGGTACATAAGATTTAAAAAGTACAGTTATTAATGTACATGTGGGTCATGCTTTGTTTTCTCTGAAACTTTAAGGTGGAATACCGGGGTAAGTTGAGATTGAACAGCGTATTGCGCGAGTGTCAAAACCCTGTTGAAGTGATGCATAAAGATGTTGTTCACCGATGGAGGATATTTGGGGTTGTGTGTGACTGAAAACCAAAATAAATATAATTCTTGCCATCTGACGAATATTAAAAGGACTTTTAGAACCTTATTCCCTGGGCTGGTTTACTAAAACAAGTCATCATCTATATAAAATAGTCATTAAGGGCAGCATGTGAATCAGCCAAACTTATGATGTGATACTTGGGAGTTGTTCGGGCAGGGTGTTTTAAATCACTCTGCGTGGTGCGCTCCATGCAGTACGTTGTTATGCGGTAAAACACTGTCGGTGTTCTGAAGTTTTGTTGTGTCCACCCAGGACGATCTGCTTCCCAAAGTTCAGACTAACATTGATTTGGCCAAACCGCTTCATTGCTGCTGCTTGCCATTGACAAGATTCTTGTCATCATAGGAGTGAGAAGAAACTGACAGATCATCAGCGTCACTGTCAGAAGACACACTGACACTGAGACTGATAGGCTTGGAGCCCTTCTTTATTGTGTACATGCTAAGGCAGCAAACAGTCGTAGCTATTCTCACTCCCATGTACTGCGTCACACTTCAACGGAATGGTAAAATGAAACCGACAACTGTTCTTTTTGAGTCCATCGGACCCCCACATCACGAACTTTTTTCTCGCATTGAATTTTAAGTACACAATTTAAAAAAGAGACCTTGTCTCTGATACATATGGGTACACTCTACAGTAAAAGATATATTGCAGAAAAATGTCCTCCATCGTTGAACTACATCTTCAAAAAAGTAGTACATGTACCATATGTACACAAGAAGATTTACCCTGGATAAAATTAATATAAGAGTAGGGTCAGTTCATGTTATAATGTACCAGTAGCTTAGTTGCATGTACTTGGGAGCTGCATGGATTACTCTCATGTGAAGACTAGTTGACACTTGGGAGTGACAAACGTGAATATCAAGGTCTCTGTCCAAAACTCAAAAGAAATTCTAATTTAGAAGACAAATGGTATGTGTCATTTCTTTTTAAGGAACTGTACAGGTAGTTTAGAAGTTTAGAGAAATTTACATCTACATGTAGATGTAGGGATTAAGTTGTACATGAACATGTAGGTCATATCCAGATACAGACTGTTAACTTTACACGAACGTGTTCAACACTCATCAACTTCATCAGGTTATTTTGTTGTTTGTCCTTGCAGTGTTTGGAGGATGAAAAGGTTCAGTTGAAGTCGGAGCTAGAATCACGAGACAATCTCATTGCAGAAGCAGAAAGAGCTATGAAACAACTGAAACAAAATTTAGCTAAAATGGATGAATCACTTGCACTCAAGGAAGATATGATTAGGTATAGAACCTGCTCTTAACTTGTAAGACTAATATGTTTGAGATATTTGGATTCAAGAAGTTATTGGATGTTCTCTTACAGTGTATGCATTCTTACGTACATGTATTCATACATTCAAATGTGCTAAACTGAGCCTCAAAATTTTCCGCACTTGTTAGATGAAATCTAATAGATGGATTGTGCCTGCTAAGTCACATGACCTGCAGTGGGTGCATGTATCAAACATCAGCAAACATAGCATTCTCCCACAGTAAAGTGAGTTGTATGTGTTATTTACCAAAAATAAAGCTAACAGTCAGTACAGTACTGAGATTACTGAGGTGCTAAGTGATATAATTACAGTTGGCATATTTTGGGTAAACAACACTTATATATATATCAGCACTTGTTGATGTTTGATACCCACTATGGGTCAAGTGACCAAGCAGGCGCAGTTGGTCTGTTATCTTGGTGCTTCTTTACAAATTTACATGTTACATTATTATCAATGGAATTAAACTTCTGCACTTAGCCCCTTTGAAAGCCCACACGTTTTGGGAGTTACTTGAGTAATCAATCAGTGTACTTATTATTCAGTTACATTTTTCCTTTCAATTACTGTGAAAGTAAAGGATTCCTTTCAGAATGGAAAAGAAAATAGCCAGTAACTTCTTAATCTAAGTACATGTTCATGTATCCCAAATATACCATAGACCCACTTAATTTAAAGGTGCTGATAGATTACATGTGTAAAAACGATTTTGAGAAAAGATTTCCGTTTGACTGTCTCACGATAGGCCGCTTGCCTCTTTATTATTGATTGAATCTTACATGAAAATTTATTATTGTTTGCAACAAATATGCCATTCCGTTATTTAAGGCCACAAGCAGAAAGAGAATAAGAAATGTATTAATCATCAAACTATAATCAGAAACTTGCAGGCCTATTTTTCTGCAAGAGTGAACGCCTTCTCAAAAATCTTTCTGTAGTAAGTCAGCCCTTGCAGTAGCAATGTTGTTACATTGTGTCCATTTGTGTTTATGCTATGTCCATTACAACTGTAGACACACATCCATGATGGCACAGTACAATGCTTGTATTACAGGTCACTTCAAGAAGTGAGTGGGCAGGAGGCTCTACATCAAGTAAATGAGTTACAAAGCCAGCTAGAGCAGGCACAGAGAGACAATGCTAGATGGCTGCGTATTGAGACACAGCTGCAGGAAGATATACAAAGACTACAAGCTAGGTAGGATCAGGACGCAGCAAGATAGTATGGAACTGCATGAATACTTCCATATCAATAGTAGACCAGAGAATGTTGCAGTCAAGGCCAGAGAGGAATCAGAGATATCGTCACCATTTTCACAAAGCGACAAATTTGGCCAAACAGCATTCCCTGAAATTAATACCGCCCAAAAAACTTCCTGCACAAAACTGTTTAGAATTAGGATCAGTATGGTGTCACACACAAGAAGAGCTGTAAACAAGTGGAAACAATGTGCATTAAGGGAGGGAGGCTTGTCAAAGGATGGTAACCTCGCAATGTGCATAGACACAAGTGTCACTTAACATGCTTAAAATCTTTCACAAATAACTTGTCAAGTGTGAACTCAAGGAACTCAACCATCAAAGGAACAAATAATAAACATAAATCAGTCCAGTGTTGAATTGACTAGAATTAGAGGTAATCTCTGCGAGACTTTCTAATATGCGTGCATATGACAAATTTAATATTAAGTGTATTATTTAAGTGAGTGTGCTGCCTCCGCAGGGTGTCTTCTGCAATTAGTCTGTACTCAGAAGAATTATTGTCATTATGATGTACACACATTAGGTTCTACTGGAATATGACCAAATGTTTTGATTGGTATACAAATGTGTAGCAGTTCTGTAGTCAAGTACTTTTTGGATTCCTAGTTCTCTGCCAAATATTGAACTGGTTAGGAGGAAATAAAGCAGGAGTACATGACCATTGCATGGAAAATGCACAAAGGTGAGGTTATGAAATGAAGACTTTAGATCCTGAATTTTGTAAAATTAAGTTTTAAAAAGAAAAGTACTCAAAATTTGAGTATTTTTGTTGTAAGCCATAATTTTTATCAATCAATGATGGTCTGAAGTTACAATTTTATTTTACAACCTCACTTTTGTGCATCTACATGTACCATCCAATGCCTGTGTACTCCAGCTTTGTAACCAGTTCAATATGTGGCAAGAGACTTGAAAAGTACTTGATCACAGCACTGATGTGTAGGAACTGCATGGAAGATCCTTCTGGCTGAATTCATTGTTGTGTCTTCTCACTGTGCGTGAGAATGAATCACAAGGCATCCTGCTGTCCCCAGCTATTTGGGTTTTTCATTTTCAGACATCTTGTTTTTATTTATGTCCAATGGTGTCATTGAGCTTCAATTACTTCAACCTTTAGCTAAGATTACATGCAAGTACATGTACATGTATGTGTTGTAGGTTAGATGAATCCCATTTGGAATGTGCACGACTCAATACAGAACTAGCTACAAAGATAGAAGAACTACGTCGTCTGGAGGGTACAGAGATGAAACAGCTACAAGACCAGCTTACTAAGGTCAGGACAAACTTGTGTAATTATGTGTCACTAATTAATTAGTAATTTGAACTTTATGTAAGTCCTTCACATGGTCTCTTCACATGCCCATTTAACTCCCATGGAAATTTCATCTGTGTGCGCCGTGGGAACTGAACCAGCCAAAGCATACGTGTGTTACTTTGAATCCAGTGTCATGTATGTAGTTAGATTAAGTTATTACCATACATTTAAATGTCTGTAGTAGGGTAATTGAACAAGGGAAATCATTTGGCATGTTATTGAGGGGGACACCAAATTAAGCCTCAAATCACAGCTTCTCAGGCTCATAGTTTGGCCTTGCAGCTGCCTGCATTAACTTGGACCCAGTTTAGTGATGTTACTGGGAGAGCATGTACATGTATTTCACAGATTCCATCAAAGAGCGCGGAGGCTTTAGAGGCAGAGATTGCTTCCATTGCACTGCATACAAACCATTAGCACATCTACACCGTAAAGCGTTCTTAGAGTTAGAAACATTTTGCTGCTAACATTTGCAGGGATTTTAAACAGTACCTTCATTAAGTTGGTCCAAGTTCCAAAAGATTATGCTACAAATACCCGAGTATTAACCTAACTTGAAGGAACACACTGGTTATTTTCTAAAATTAAATAGTTTATTTCATATTCAGTGTAATGAGTGTTGTTTGCAGGAGAAAGCTTGGAGTAGTGAGCAGGAACAACATTATATGTCTCACCTGGATGGCATGAAGTCCGAGGTCACAGCATTAACTTCTGATCTCCATCACCGTGACAGTACCATAGCAACATTGAGTCAGAAGATTGCATCTCTTGAAAGAAAGGAGAGGGAGGGAGCACAGACAGTGGAACGGCATCAACATGAACTGCAAGTTAGTGCTATTGCTGTTGGATTGCAGGCAACTGTTGTCAGCTGCCTGGTAAAAGGCATGATCATATATCAGACTATCATTAGAAAATCACATAAAATCTTTCCTGCTTGCTTATTCATTGTAAATTAATTCAAGCACGCATAATAGAATAATAATCTACTTGAAACAGCATCACCCCAATGTCCCATTACCAGATACTAAATGATGTGTTGTTATTTTATTATGTCTGGTAATGATACCAAGGATCCCTAAAAAACACCCTAGGCACTGTAGGTTTACAAGCCTGAAGAAACCTGTAGAGCGGAGACTATGAGAAGCAGTTACAGTTTTAGAGGTGGGAGGAAAACCCCAGAGGATTATTCTTGGTAAAATTCATGGAATCAGGTAGGGACCAAAAACCCAATACACATGTGGATTGAGCCAGGTCAACCCTCCTAGATCCTAACCCAATACACATGTGGATCGAGCCAGGTCAACCCTCCTAGTTTCTAACCCAATACACATGTGGATTGAGCCAGGTCAACCTCCTAGATCCTAACCCAATACACATGTGGATCGAGCCAGGTCAACCTCCTAGATCCTAACCTAATACACATGTGGATCGAACCAGGTCAACCTCCTAGATCCTAACCTAATACACATGTGGATCGAGCCAGGTCAACCCTCCTAGATCCTTCTTCATTCATAAGGAGCTTTGGGAAGATGTCAAAGAATTGAAGAATGATAGCCTAGTTGCTGTAAGTGTTGCTTTGCTACATGTATATCATTGCTTTGATCCCATTACAAACAAGGTGTGTGTTCACTGGCACAGTGGTAGATTGTGGTGTATTGACACAATGCTAAGGGAGACATAGGATGAAGCATTCTGTGGATTTCAAAATCATTGGCACTAATAAATGCTGTATAATTAAGCATTTGTTTTACTCCATAAAGTTTGGATTTTTATTTTTACAAGTATTTTCATTTGTCCAATGCCAACATTCCATCAAAAGTCTCAAACTGACTATTTTCCAATTCCAACCTGCCATCTGACCCTAACTAACTCGGTGTATAAGTGGCAAGACATCAGAAATAATGATAAGGGAGTCATGGATTCTATCCTGACCTACATAATCTTGGCAGTATTTTTCTCATGCACTCATGGATAGCAATTGAATTTCAGTTTTTATGGAAGTACACGGATGTCAGTGTAGGGAAACCCAGTATTAGGATTTCTATCTCTCCAACAAAAATATCTTTGGAGTTTTATAATGTAACTGACTTGGTTCCAGTTTGTTGGACGTTTTGCAGCTTTGAAAGCACCCATAACCCTTCAGAGCACATGACTCTTTATATAGAGAACTATGCTCTACACTAATAATTTCAAGTGAAAGTACATGTACCCGTATGTTATCATTTTCTCACTACAGATTACCAATGCCCAGCTGGATGCATTGAGGATTGAGAACCGTAGCTTACGAGAGAACACCAACAATCCTGATACGACTTCTATGTCATCTGAGATACTGAATGCTCAATCACAGCTCCAGGACTTGAGAAATATGCACACACAGCACATGAAGACCTCACAGATATTACAGGTAGGTACACTCTTTACTGAATGAACATGAGTGAAAGTGGAAGGATTGACGAAAAGATTGTCTGATAACAGTTGAAAGGGAATGCTGAGATATTCCACCAAAAACTTGAATTGCAGACTGGAACTGTAATATTTTAATCCTAAGCTCTTGATATTTGAGAAATACAGATACATGTATAATCAGTTTAATCAGGGTTGTAAGTAGAAATGTTAGCACCAGCTGTTTGGGGGCTGGATGGCTAAGCTGACATAGTATCAGTTGCAAGAATGAATGACTCACACGTGTGGGCCAGTGAAGTACATATATGCACATGGATAGGTACATGAAGTTTGAATACAAAAAGAGGCACGTGAGACAATGCTATTTTGCAGTATATTCCAAGTCATTTGTTTCCTGTCAAAATTTCAAAATCACAGTGTAATGCAGCACAATTGTTGCCAGCAGATAAGCTTTATTTTCACCCCCAAGCACAAGCTGGTGACTTGGAGTGCTCCCCAGCACCCCGAGTACTAGCTGGTGACTTGGAGTGCTGTCCAGCGCCCCTAGGTACTAGCTAGTGACTTGGAATGCTGTCCAGCACCCCAAGTACTAGCTAGTGACTTGAAGTGCTGTCCACCACCCCCAGGTACCAGCTGGTGCCTTGCAGTGCTGTCCAGCACCCCCAAGTACTACCTGATGACTTGGAGTGCTGTCGAGCACCCCGAGGTACTAGCTGGTGCCTTAGAGTGCTGTCCAGCACTCCCAGGTACTAGCTGGTAACTTGGAATGCTGTCCAGCACCCCAAGTACTAGCTAGTGACTTGGAGTGCTGTCCAGCACCAGCTGGTAGTGGAATGTGTAGCTACAACACCAGAGCATCATTCACAAGCTGATTTACTATCCTAGTGTTGTGGTAATACATTCTGCTGAGATTGTTTTCATAGCAAGTTTTCATAGCTAGTTTCTAGGCTTACTTCAAAAGCAGGATTCCAACTGTTGGTACTTTGTATCTACATGTACCACAGTTGATCTACATGTTAGGCTTGGGCGGTATTTCCTTTTTCGATACCACGGTATCCATGAAAAAAATACCGCGGAATTTACTAATACCGCGGTATTCATTGCAGAAGACAATGACTACATCAAAAAGCAGCGGCGATGCTGGCATTCAAAGGCAAACCACAAACAACACTAGGGGCCAGCATAAAGGGTTTTTAACGTCACAAAATCCCCTTTTTCTGTCCATTTGATGTCAAATAAAAATTATTTATATGAATTTTTTTAAAAAGGGACGGTGTTTTAAATACCGATTCATTGCTCCGTGATTCCTATATCTGTGTGGTCACTCGTACGGTGTGAAAATCTGCACATGTGCTACAGTCATGTTGGTACTCGCTGAGACAGTGCATTATTGTAATGATTACGTGCGGATTACCAGTGGCTGCTCCTTTTAGCTGCGCCCTAACACTGCGCGTGTGCAATGGTAAGGTGGCTTTCAGAAAACTCTGCGACGCGGCAGTCGATTCTTGTCATTACAAAATTGGTTGTAACGAAATTCAGATTACAACAAGCACAAATCTTAGGTCCCGGTGAAAACATGCATATTTCTATAGGGAGAAAATATGTTATAGCGAAATAGCATTGTACGAAATTCCTGGTACAACGAAAGGTTTTCGTGACTCCGTTGCCTGAAAACCATTCTTGACGACCCATTCATAAAGCGTTTGCAAATCGCGGTGGTTAAAACACGTGTGCGGTTGCACCACACTGGTTCCCGCCGGGCCGAACCGTTGACAATGAAGGCATGATGGAAATGCGGCAACCAGTCAATGTACAGGTTCTGCCAAAAAAGGGTCGTACGTTCCACTACATCGAATGCAGGTCTATAGTTGCAAGTCAAAAAATTTGATCTCATGTCTATGTTTGTGTTTTCTGTGTTCATGAATTTAA